GTGAGAGAGAGAAAGAAATAGAGAGAGAGGGAGGAGGGGGGCCTACCAGAGAGAGAAAGAGATAGAGGGGGGGCGGGGACTAAGAGAGAGAGAGAGAGAGAGAGAGAGAGAGAGTTTTGTTCCATTTGCTGATAAGAGAGAGAGAGAGAGAGAGGCTGAATGGCAAAATTTATGGGTCAAATTGCGGCCGCAATCTATTTCGCAGTTGGAATGATTTTTTAAAATTTATGTAGCGTTTTTCCTGGAAAGATCACAACAAAGTCTACGAGTACTCCAATTTTCAGGTTTTTTCACACATTCTTCTGAGCGCGAAAACTCACTGAATCTGGAGTACTTTTTTAGTTGGCCCAGGCATGGCTGAGTGACAAAAATGGAAAATGTGCTGAATTGGCGGGACGATTATTTCGCAGTCTAAATGATTTTTTGTAAATGTTCTATTATTATTTCTGGAAAGAACACGACGTCATCTATGGATTCTCAAAATTTCAGATTTTTGTGCATGTTCGTCTGAGCACAGAAAATCGCCAAAGTCTGGAAAGAACACGACGTCATCTATGGATTCTCAAAATTTCAGATTTTTGTGCATGTTCTTCTGAGCACAGAAAATCGCCAAAGTTGCCTCTTGCAAAATGCCTGTTTCGTTGTGCCTGACCTCCCTGTTTTGAGAAGACGGGGCTCAACGCCTGGGCCTGAGGGCCCTTTTGCAGTTCACATGCCCTCACTTCTTGGTCCGCCTACTCGAGGACTGGTCAAATGCCCCCCACTTCTTTTTGGGGTTCCACTTCCACCCGAGGACCGGTCCTTCGTTTTTCCAAAAGTCCCGGTTCTAGAAGAACTAGCTGTAGGTAGTCCGCAATTTTGGCGAGGACCGGTCCCCCAAATTTTTTTGCCCCCTAAGAACCCACTTTGCGTCCTGGTCGCCCCCCGCCAAAAATGCGACACCTTGACACAGATGCGGAAGCACACTATACTGCAGCCTTAGGGCTGGGAACAGGCAGCTCTAGAACTCGAATGACAGGGACTTTTGGAAAAAGCAAGGACCGGTCCTCGGGTTGAGGCCGACCCCTAAAAGGAAGGTCAAGACGAACATGCACAAAAATCTGAAATTTTGAGAATCCATAGATGAGGTCGTGTTCTTTCCAGAAATAATAGTAGAACATTTACAAAAAATCTTTTAGACTGCGAAATAATGGTCGCGCCGATTCAGCACATTTTCTATTTTTGCCACTCAGCCATGCCTGGGCCAACTAAAAAAGTACTCCAAATTCAGTGAGTTTTCACGCTCAGAAGAATGCGTGAAAAAACCTGAAAATTGGAGTACTCG